ATGATGATGATGATATCTACATACCGGTAGTAGCGGTCGGTGGCTGTGTCGTCGCTGTTGTAGTTTTTGACTCTGCTGAAAATTAATAAAACATAATCATTTAATTCAATTAACATATAACATTAAAACAGTGTGGGAAGCGCTGTAGACGATCTGACCCTCACCTCTCCCATTAGGGGATAGATGGAATGATGATGATGATGATGATGATGATGATGATGATGATGATTGAGGATGATGAGGATGATGATGATGATGATGATGATAATGATGATAATGATGATGATGATATCTACATACCGGTAGTAGTGGTTGGTGGCTGTGTCGTCGCTGTTGTAGTTTTTGACTCTGCTGAAAATTAATAAAACATAATCATTTAATTCAATTAACATATAACATTAAAACAGTGTGGGAAGCGCTGTAGACGATCTGACCCCCATCTCTCCCATTAGGGGATAGACGGAATGATGATGATGATGATGATTATGATTATGATGATGATTGATGATGATGAGGATGATGATGATGATGATGATGATGATGATGATGATGATGATGATGATGATGATATCTACATACCGGTAGTAGCGGTCGGTGGCTGTGTCATCGCTGTTGTAGTTTTTGACTCTGCTGAAAATTAATAAAACATAATCATTTAATTTAATTAAACGTATAACTATTTGGATGTGTGTTTGCGGCAGGAAAATATCATAGGAGTGATGTTTTGCCATACTTGGATGGATATAATAACCTATCAGTTTAATTCGATTAAACAAATGACATAAAAAGGTGTGGAAAGTGGTGCAGAGACGATTTAACCTCCCTCCCATTCGGGGATAGACAGAATGATAATGATGACGACGACGATGTTGATGATGATGATGATGATGATGTTATCGACCTACCGGTAGTCACTCTTTCTGTTCTTCCTGAATTCGGTGGAACTTTCGTCGCTGTTGTAGGTTTTGGCTCTGTTGAAAATAGACATTTAAAAACCTAATAGTTTTATTAAATTAAACATTTAACTATTTCGATGTGTTTCTGCTTTAGGAAAATATCATATGAGTGATGTTTTGCCCTACCTGACGTAAACAATTTACTGAGTATTCGGTTAATTTAACTGTTCCCTGGAGACGAGGACGACGACGATGATGATGATGATAATGATGATGATAATGATAATGATGATTATGATGATAATGATGATTATGATGATTATGATGATGGTGTTATCGACCTACCATTCACTGTTTCTCCTCCTGAACTCGGTAGAACTTTCGTCGCTGTTGAAAATAAACATAAAAAAACTAATTATTTAATTTAATTGAACGTAAAACCATTTCGATGCGTTTCTGCGTTAGGAAAATATCATGATGTAATGTTTTGCCCTATATAACGTGTTATAGTACCGAGTACTGATAATTCGGTAGGGTAACACGCAAGGTAGAGCAAAACATCACTCCTATAAACGAATAAATTTGACAAAAGAATGTTAGCATGAAATAAAGGTGGCTCTTCGTTCTGTTATGATGATGATAATGATAATAATGATACCGGTAGTCACTCTATGTTTTCCTTCGGGGGTCGATGGCTTGTCTGCCGTCGCTATTATAGCTTTTGGCTCTGCTGAAAATTAATATAATAAAAACCAATCTTTTAACTTAATCAAACGTATAGCATTGGAAATAAGGCGTTTAAGAATGAAGAGGAACGCATGCGCTGTTCGAAATATTTGTTTAATAAAATTATGTATATGTATATATAAATATAGGCCTATATATATATATATATATATATATATATATATAAATTTAAATAGGCAAATGTGTATGTATGTATGTATGTATGTATGTATGTATGTATGTATGTATGTATGTATGTATGTATGTATGTATGTATGTATGTATGGGTGTATGGGTGTATGTATGTATGTATGTATGTATGTATGTATTATATTCATTCATCTTTTATTTCGGAATGTACAAAAGAACAACACTTAAACCGTTCTTATTGTATTGCACCCTGTACATCATCCTGGGTTTATAACTACAGTATTTGAAATATAAAAATTAAAATACTGTATGGCCATATACGTTGTTAATTTTCAGTCAACAAAAATAAACTGACCTCAACACTTTCGAATGTAAAAATCTTTAATATTTTTATTCTTTTATATACACATTAAAGTATAGGTACTTTACAGGTTGTCACTGTGATTAAAATAAAATCGTAAAGAGCAAGAGTTCAGTAAATAATATTTTGATTTTTGTAATTTGTTTATCGTCCTTCAATGTAACTGTACTCGACTACACATCGTTACTTAATCTGGGCTTCGTTTCATATTCAAAAAGCGCCCCTTGAATTGTCCATGTCCCCGTAAACACCCCGTCATTTTTTATCTATTTCCAAAAGCGCCCCTTCAATTTCCACTTTTCATAAATGAGCGCTCCTCAAAAAGTACCAGAAGAATTTTAAGCACCCGCGCGCTTATTTGCGCAAGTATGGTACAGTCTTTAAGTTCTTATAAGTTAAATTTGTCTAAATTGTAAAAAAAAAAGAAGATAGATAGACAATAAGGCATAAAGTGATAATATATATATAACTTTCAAAAATTAAACTTACTTTTCTCTGCCTCCGTATAAGTGTCTCGAGTTGTTTTGCTAACCTCGTATGTATCACCAGGGCTATACGTATGTTGTAATGTAGGTAGGGTAGGGTTGCATTCCTCGTTTTTAGTTATGGAAAGGAAGCAGCAATAATCACTTGAATCAATGTTAAAACTATTACTAGGATTACACTGTATTCCTAAATGATTATAGGAACAAGGTCTCCCACAAACGAATGTTGTGCGGTAGTTGATACCATTGCATTCTTCACCTAAGTCTGTAACAGATGTATGAATTAAGCGGATGAAAGACAGAGAATTTGCTTGCGCAGTGTGTTCAAAATTTAGCCTATGATAACTCATTTTCATTATCACCATCGGTTTAAAGAAAAGATGTAGAGTAGGCAAGTATCAATTATTTTTAATTTATCAGCTAATAACATATTTTGCCAAAGACCTGTATGTTTTATAATTAATTTGTATTTTTATTTTTCTACTATTTAGTATTTAATTTGTATTAATTCGATCTGTATTCAAATTCATCTTATGTCTTATGAACTGTGTAATAGGCATGCATTAATTCAATGAGTGTGTAATATCAAGAAAAAGACGGAAAATTAATTAATTCATTCCTGATGATGACATAATTAATGTCGAAATATTGAATCCCAACACGATGGCGTGTATTTCAATACTTAGAGTATGTATTATACTTTCTAATTAATTTGTGCAATCACACAATTTTAGTTATCCGTATCTGCTTCAGAAGGGTCAGAGACTAAATATTCGACGCGGTTCGCTCCTCCTACTGTTACCTTACTCCTGCTTTGATTATTGTACAGTGTAGCACAACAATTAAGCAAAAAATTACAGTTTGATGAAAAGTGAGTTGAAGATATTGATTGTTGAATGATGTTTAAACCCCTCACTTATCCTCAAAAAAAAAAAATAAAAAAAAAATAAATAAATAAATAAAATCTAAATTTTGTGATTTTTCAACGCTTCTACCGAATTGATAAGTGATTTGTATTTAATTGACAAGGAGAAAGCCTTAACATAATTAAATTGGTATGATTCTAGAAACCTACATATTTCACAGCCTGATTCTCCGCATTGACATGTATAACTTGATGTACTAATGTTGTTGCTGTTGTTGTTGCAACTCCATCCATTACGACACGCAGAACTATAATTACACGGATTCGGTGCTGCAAGATTGAAAAATTGGTCAATATTATTTATCTATCAA